TCCCAGACACTTTTTTTTTAAAAACATATATTTTCAATTGATATTTAAAGAGTGAAGTTATGTATTTCTATATACAATTTCAGTTGGGATTGTTACATATGTTAGTTATGTGTTGTCATTTTTTGTCACGGTACATGGAATTGTTTCCATGGAAAATACTTACCAAGATTTAGCAGAGTTAAATAGAGCTCTTGGGGTTGTTGGGGTATTCAAAAGAGTGAGAAGTGAGAAAAGAAACTCAAAATAGTATTTTATACAATTTGAAAAAAAAACAAATATTCCCTCCGTCTCATTTTATGTGGCACCATTTCCTTTTTGGTCAGTTCCAAAAAGAATGTCACATTTTCTTATATGGTAAGTATTTAAAGGTATAATTCCTTTTTTATCCCTTGTTGGTCCCACTTAATCTTAAAATAATACTCCAATACATTTATGAGGAAAGAGAAAAATGAATCTACTTTTTAAAGGGCAATTTGATAAACAATTCAAAGTCTTCATTTATTTCTTAAACTCCGTGCCCGATCAAATGTTGCCACATAAAATGGAACGGAGGGAATATACAATTAGTATACACTGATATATAGATTTAGATATAAAGATATACGGGTCATACATGTACTATGAGTCGTGGTTTGACTCTTGGTTGCGTGGATCAATTTTGAAACTCTTTGAGGTTTTCCACCGTTGGAAGTACGGATTGTACTCTCAACATAAGAGTTGTATTGATGAAAATTTTAAATTAGAGTGTCTCTGGTAAAACAATCATTAATTTTTTATTCTAGACTCAGATTTACGAATGGTTGGTGATGTTAAAAAGAAGACTCTAAGACCTTTAATGTAACGGGAAATGAGACACATAACTCCTTATATTATAAGAGATATGCTTGTTTGAAGTTGGCCCTTGCATTCTCTTATGCAAAAACTTAATTGGTAGAGAATCTTTGAAGTCAAGTTAGTGTTAGAGGTTCCTTATGACCCTAATTCACATACAATATACTTTCCACTAGGGGTGTACAAAATCGAACCAAACCGCAAATCGAAAAAAAATCCGACTAGTGATTTGGTTTGACTTGGTTTGGTATTGGAAAAAAAACCCGACTATATTTGGGTTGATTTGGTTTTAACTAAAAAAACCCAACTCGAGACAAAACCAATCCGACATTATATATGTAATTTTAAAATTTTATTTTATACATAAAAATATTTACTTTGATATAATTTTAAAATATTTCTTATACTATTTCATAGTTTTTATCTTTTTAATATATTATTTCAAGTTTAAAACTTAGAATTTGGAATGGTCCAATAAAGATTATAGTTCATAGATGTTGATAATTATAATAAAACTTAAATCAAAATCAAATTAATACTAATGCAAAAAATAATTCAATTCAACACTAAGAATGACAATAATATTGAATATTTGTTCTTTAGTTTTACATTGGTTTAGACAATTTAAAATACATAATCTAATTTTAATTTTCCTTAAATATTTAGTAATGTAACTAATACTTATTAAACTTATTTTAGCATGATTTAGTACTTTTAAATTATGATCATTTTTATTATGACTTTGCAATATTTATTTTATATGATGATTTAATTATTATTTTTTATTGAATATTTTAGTGTCATCAGTACTCATCTCATATTTTGTGTTATTTTCTTAAGAAACACCTTAGATAATTGTATTTTGGTTAGACTAAAGAAATATTTGGAGCACAAGTTAATTATATGTTTGTATGCAAACTTTACCGAAAAAATCCAAAAATCTGAAAAAATTCGAGGCTTATTAGTTTGGTTGATTTTATAAATTTAAAAACTCGACACAATGGTTTTGGTTTGGTATTTGAAAACCAGAACCAACCCGAGGTTGAAAACCCGAAAAAATCCGAATTTTATTAGTTTGGTTTGGTTTATAAATTACTTTTTTTTACACAAATGGTTTGATTTGATATTTGAAAAACCCGAACCAACCCGGTCATGTACACCCCTACTTCCCACACCTAGAAATTTATCTTAGCACCGATGCACTATTAGTAAATCATCCGTTAAGAGTCTATAGACATATGATGAATTGTTCGATCAGGTCTTAGCTTAGAAATTTTTGGAGTGTTACAATAGTACTTAGTAAGCCCTTAGGACAAGACAAAGATATGTTACTATTGATGAAAGGAATTCAAGACAAGGGGAAGATTTGTTAATTATGTCTTGAATTCTTTCCTTATATATTTTAGCAAACTCATAATCTCTACTTGTTTAAGAGATCCTTTGTCCTAATAGATTTGAGAAATTATATATTCTCCTTCTAGGATTGGAAGAACCTTTTACTTATAGTTTTGAGACTACTTGAGATCTATATATAGGGGATGTAGTTGGGGATTCTAAAGCATAGTGGAAAACTCTCTATGCTCTTGCTTGGGAGGATTAGGCCTAACCGAACCTCATTAAGTCCTAGTGTTATTTTTCTTCTCTTTTTTCTTTATTTGTGATTGTGTGCTAGTTAACCCATGATATTTCTGCAACGTATTCCGTATTAAATTGTGAAACGAATAAATTTTTTATTAGCTCCACAAATACTAAAGAGAAAAACAAATTACAATGAGTGTAGTCTGAGAGATAGCGTGACCAGTAAAGCAGAGAAGAAATGGTTTTCATTGCACATATCTTATTTAATTAAGGCCAACTATTTCAGTCAACTCCATATTGTATCGTTTGAGATTAAGCATTGTTTTTTAGTCTATAAGTAGGAATAGCCATTAAATGATTTTCTCTGCTTGTTGCTAACCCAAAGTGCTCCTCAACATCCAAATCACAAGGCTGCATACCATTTGGAAGCTCCCAATCAAAGCAATGCACCAGTTGTGCCACTATAAGGTAGACAAGGACAATTGCCAACTGCATTGCAGGGCATCTTCTTCTGCCAGAACCAAATGGTAAAAGTTGGAAGTCATGTCCACGAATGTCTATACTGCTCCCAACAAACCTCTCGGGCAAAAACTTTTCAGGTTCAGGCCAAATATTTGGATCCCTTTGAACAGCATAAAAGTTAATCATGATCCGGGATCCTTTTTGTATGTTGAAGCTATTGACTACACAATCTTCCATGGCCTCGTGAGGCGCTAGTGGCGCTACGGCATGCAGCCTCAGGCCCTCCTTTACAACCATGTCTAAGTAGTTCAAATTTTCCAAGTCTGATTCTTTTACCATTTTTTCAAGGCCTACCACTTCTTCTAACTCTTTTTGGAGTTTCTTCATCACATGAGGGTGCCGAAGAAGCTCCGTTAGTATCCATTCTATAGCTGATGGTGAAGTGCCCATTGCTGCAATTAACATATCCTGCTATAGAAAGGGAAACAGGGGAAATTAGTACAAACAAATTTAAATTGTACAATAATAGAAGTATATAGAGGAGATGAAATAACGTACGAAGAGGATGGCTTTTATATGTCTACGGTCAAACTGAAATTCTGCTTCTCCTGATTGCATAATGTCCAACATGGTGTCAACAAAGTCTTTAGATTGCTTCTGGTCACGAGACTGGACATGTTCATCGATAATCTTCTCAAAAAAGTCATCAAACACCTTTGAAAGATCCTTGATCCTGCGAGTGAGTCCCTGGAGATCAATTACACCAAGGAAGGGGAAAAATTCTCCAAGATTTGGTGTTGCTGCTAAATGCTCAACCTCTTTGACAAGAGCTTTGAATCCCCTCTTGTCCAAATCTTCATCCATGTACTTCTTTCCAAACACCATCAAGCAAGTCAAGTCAGCATTCAAAGACGAAATCTTTGCACTAAGATCAACAACAACACGATGATCACAAGCTTCATTTTTGAGTGATTTGATCATAACCTCAACTTGCTGCTTTCTCATAGATTGAAATGAATTGATCTTTTGGTTACCGAAAAGGTGCTGAGTGCACAACTTGCGCATGCTGCGCCAGTATGGTCCATGCTTTGCGGATATCAGATTCTTCTGTCCATATGCCAAATAATAAGCTGCTTCATTATGAGGTCTACTAGCAAAGATATGATCATATGTCTTGAGGAACTTCTCCGCTGTGTCTGCAGACGAGACAACGATTGTAGGTACTAGTCCCAGTCTAACATACATAAGAGGACCATGTGTTTTTGCTAGTTTTAGGAAATCTTGGTGTGGATTTTTTCCTAACAAGTGAAGATGTCCTATAATGGGAAGCCCTTTTGGACCTGGAGGATACCTTTTCCTATTCTGGATATTGTTTAGCAACTCATAAAAGGCATACACAATAAAAACAACCACTAGCGTTGCCCATATCAAAGCCATGCCTAATACTTACTAATTGAAAGGGTTTAGAGATCTCAATCATATAATGGCTGGCACCATTCAAAAAATCAATGCACTATTTGGTAATGTTAGAAATTATTTTTTGGAAAATGTTTTCCCAAATTAATGTGAAGGAGACATCCACATTAATTTTTGTTATGGAAAAGTGACTTATCTTTTGGTGGATCATGGTGCTTTCAAACAAAATCAGAAGATAAAGCATCAATCATCTCACAAGATTTTTCATATGGAAAATGACTTGTATGTACACTAATAAAAGAACAGGGCTACTTGCAATTTAGGGATGAAGTTTGTAGCATTTTTTATTTATGAAAATACAAAATTTCAAAGCTTGCAAACAAAAAAAAGAACGATGGAAGTGAAAAGTACTGGGCTCCATTTGTATAAGTTACTTGCAAGCTACATGTTTGATAGTGAACCCTAGGAATAAGTTGCTATAAGTCTTTCTAATAACTACTTGAATTATGTGCGAGTTATTTGTTGTAAGAGTATTACATGAACATCTACAATTTAGTGCATTCCTAACATTTACTTGTTTTCTTTAATAATTTTAGTGTTGTCAATTCTAACATAATGAACTAATAGATTTGGGAAGCCATTAGCACTTTTATTTATCAATTCAAGATCAAAAGTTTGATAGATCTAATAAATTTGTGAAAAAGTATAAAAAAAAAATTATTTTGGATAGATTTTAAAAAAAGACAAGGATCAATGATATTCCAGGTGAACGAGGACAAAAAATACATCCACCTTTGTCCTATAGCCCTACTGAAGACCTCCTTCGATCTTCGACCTGCAGTGAACAGTGCAATAGCAAAATATGCGGTAGTGATGACTCCGACCATGATAACCAATCACATCCCCATGTCAGACAATCCTGATTCTGCTACCTCTTTCTACTCCCCGATGAACCAGCCCACTAGTTTCATCGTCTGGAATACTCGTGGTGTTAACAATGATAACTTTAAGAGAAACTTCAAGGAGCTTATTAAGAACCACAACCCTTGCATGGCGGCTCTCCTTGAGACTAAGATGGCTGATCACCTTAGCATGGTTACCAAATTTGGGTTTGATGACTATTGGGAAGTCCCTGCACTTGTGCTCCTTTGGCACTCTATTATTCTCAATGTTACTAGGAAGAAACAAACTCCTCAGGAGATGCATGCCATGATCCAGGTATCGCCTAATAATTTTAGTTGGTGGTTCTCCGCGATTTATGCTAGTACTGTTCATACTGATCGTATTAATTTATGGAATAACCTAGAAGCTATTGTGAATACTTATGATGGTCCTTGGCTTGTTGCTGGAGACTTTAATGAAGTCCTTACACATCACGATAAATGGGGAGGGCGTGGTATTAATCGTAGTAGAAGCTCTCTCTTTTGGTCTTGCATTAATCGTTGTCAACTTATTGATTTAGGCTTTAAGGGGGATCGATATACTTGGTCTAATCATAGGAAGAGACGCGCATCCTTAATTCTTGAAAGACTGGATAGAGCCTTTGTCAATCATTCTTGGTCCGGCCTTTGGCCCAACACTCTCGTCACTCATCTCCCTAAGACTCACTCCGACCATAATCCTCTCCTCATCACCATTAATGGTTCCCCTGGGTCAAAAAAGAATAAGCCTTTTAGAATGGAAAAATTCTGGGTCGATCACCCGAAGTTTAGTGATTTAGTGAAGCGTAGTTGGGAAAATAGGAGCCTCTATGACGCCCTGCCTATCTTCACGAGTAATGCTATCGAATGGAGTAAAAAACCCTTTGGGAATATCTTTTTAAAGAAAAAGAAAATCCTAGCTAGATTAGAGGGTATCCAAAATTCCTACGCCTTTTCCACCAGCTCCTTTCTTCAGAATCTTGACATAAACCTCCGTAAGGAATATAATGATATTCTTAAAATGGAAGAGGAGTACTGGAAACTGAGATCGCACATCAATTGGCTGGCTAATGGCGATGCGAATACTAAATTCTTCCACTTATCGGTTGTAAACAGAAGAAGATGACAATGATAACTGGATTACGAACCCCTCTACAATTATTGATCACACCTTCAGCTACTTCTCTAATTGTTTTACTTCTGACCATTCTCTCTCTAACTTGAGATACATTCAATCCTCTCCTATCAGTTTTCATAAGCTTGACCTCTCCGATATGGATCGTTCCCTGCAGGACTATGAAATAACTCAAATTCTTTTCTCCTTCAAACCGTTCAAAGCTCCCAGGGCCTGATGGCATACACCCACATTTTTTTCAATCCCAATGGAAAGTAGTGGGTAATTCTGTCATCGAAAGCTGCCAGCAAATTTTTAATACCCAAGTTATGCCCCCATCCTTGAATAAGACCCTTCTCTGCCTCATACCTAAGTTCCCTAATGCTAACCATCTGAAGAACTATAAGCCTATTGGTCTATGTAATACCATCTATAAAATCATTACCAAAATCATTGCGAACTGCCTTAAGCCCCACCTCAATAATCTTATCAGTCCCTGCCAAACTAGCTTTCAGAAGGGGAGAAGAGCTTGCGATAATGCCATCCTTATTCAGGAACTTTTGACGCACCTTAACAAGAGCAAGAGTAAAAAAGGTTACGTTATGCTCAAAATTGATCTCGAAAAAGCGTCTTGAATGGTCTTTCGTTTATCGAACTCTTCTCTACTTTAAGTTCCCTCAGAAAATTACCAACTCATTATGAGTTGCATCTCCACTTCGAATATTGTTGTCCTCGTAAATGGAACCCAAACTAACTACTTCTCCCCTTCTAGGGGAATAAGTCAAGGAGACCCCATGTCCCCTTATATCTTTATCCTTTGCATGGAGCTCCTGTCGAAATACATTAATCAATCATCAAGTCGACATCCTCCGATGGGAGCCTATCTCCCTGTCAGCTAACATCCCTTAATTCTCGCATCTATTCTTTGCAGATGACTTAACTTTAATTTCTCGGGCGACCCAAAAGTCTATCAATACCATGTATGAATGTATGTCTGCTTTTTGTGAACTGTCTGGACAAAAAATAAATGTTGCTTAGTCCAAATCCATTTTCTCTCCATGCTGTGATAACGTCTCTAGGAACCTTGTGCAATACTGCTTTCGTATTACTCCATCTTCTGATTTCGGTAAATATCTTGGCTTCCCCATCCTTAACCGTAATCCTAGAGCTGCTGACTTTCATTATATCCTCGACAACATGAGGAAAAAACTTTCCAGTTGGAAGGTACACTTTCTGACTACTGCAGGACGCATCACTCTTGCTAAATCTACCCTTAATGCCATTCCGGCCTATTCTATGCAATACTTCCAACTTCCTATGAAGATTTGTAACACTATCGATAAAATTCAACGCGATTTTCTTTAGGGTTGCACAACCCACTACATTGCTTGGGAGAAAGTGACCTCCCCGAAAGATTGTGGAGGCCTAGGCTTACAAAAAGCAGACACCAAGAACAAAGCTCTCCTGACCGGTCTTGCTTGGCGCCTCATTACGGACCAATCTTCCCTTTGGGCCAAAACCTTAATCATGAAGTATAAATCTCGAACTACTGCCCCTTCCCATTCCTTTATATGGAAAAACATTCTTCTTGGGAGTAATATTTGCTCGAAAGCAATTGCCTGGACTCCGACTAGAGGGCAGATTATTAATGTTTGGCATCACCGTTGGATACCCAACACCACCTGCCCTTAGAACTATCCTCCAAGGCCCTCTGAATCAAGGTGAAGATCATCTTACTGTTTCCTCTTTATGGAATGACACCTCCTGGGACTGGTCTAAGATATCCTTTAACATCCCTCTAGATATCGTTCAAAAAGCTTCTAAGATTCAGCTCAATAGGAACCTCGGGGAATGGGACATTCCTTACTGGTCTTGTAATAGTAATGGCATTTTTACAACCAAATCGGTGTACGGTATCCTAAACCCCAATCCTAACATTACTTTCCCTTTCGCGTGGATCTGGAAACTCCACACGATAGAAAAACATAAAGTCTTCCTTTGGCTTTGTGCTCAGGTGCTTATCTTCATCATATTGGTATTGATATTGACCCTTTGTGCCCAGTTTGTTCCCTGGCTCATGAAACCATTGAACATGTTTTCTTGGAGTGCTACATTGCAAAAAAAAAATTTGGCTGGATTTGGGCATAAATATCTCCCATTTACTTCATCATAATGACGAACTGCACTGGCTTCTGCTTCTTTCTCAGCTGGTCTTCCCTGAGTATAACACCATCTATAGTTGGAAACCCTTTGCTTTTTGGCACATCTGGATTAATAGAAACCATAATGGTAAGACTGATTTTCCCTCTCCTATCTTAATTCGGAACAGGACCATAGAATACATCACTCACACCCAGTCGCCTAGTAATCCGGATGCTACCACGTCTATTGACATTCAATGGTTTCTTCCCCCTCTCGGGTTTTATAAATTGAACACAGATGGCTCCTTCTCAAAAAAACAAAGGCATAGGAGGCATCATCCGGAACTCTAGTGGGGGCTGGATGGTCGGCTTCCACAATCAAACTCACTGCCATAACAATACCATGTCTGAAATTGAGGCTTTCCTTACTGGTCTTCACATCGCCTTCACTCATAACCTCTTTCCTTTAGAAGTTGAGACAGACTCTCTTGAAATTCTGCAATTCTTAGAGAACTCACCTCCAACTTACTCTTCTATTATTATGTCTTGCAGGTCAATGTTGAAGAAGTTGGGGAATCCAACGGTCCGCCATAATTTTCGCCAAGCAAACATGGTAGCTGATGTTTTGTCTAATATAGGTGCCAAGCTGACAATGACCAACCAACCACATATCTTACTATCTCCCCCGGAGGCTGTAAAGGATTACCTTAAACCTGACCTTGGTGGAGTTCTATCTAACAAGCTAATATTATGGTCTACATGTAATAAGTTAGCTCGTTTTGGCAACCTTTCTGTACTTAGTAGTACTAGTACTGATGTAATGGTGAACCTTTAACTATATATATATAATATCCTTTTTCTACCAAATAAAGCACACATTTATTTATCAATTTAAAAAATTACTTTTTTTGTTTGTTCACAATCTAATTAAAATGGAAAATGTACAAATCATCTGTATGATTATAGCACAAGGTTAAATATAATTTATCTTAACATATTGTCTAGATACAAGTGATATAAAAGTTGATACAATTGACACAATTGTATTCGTTGATACAATTTGATACAAATGCTTAATATGACTATATTCGTTAATACAATTATATTCATTACTACACGTCATATAATTATATTCACTCACTAATATACTTAGTATAGAGTGAGTGAATGCACAAGCAACATATACACTTGATATTCATTGATATAACTTGATATAGTTATAACGGTTGATACAAATTGTATTGGTCCATACATTTGATACAAAGTAAATACACAAGGACCACATACATTTTATATTCATTGATAAAAATTGTATTTGTTGATACCACCTAAGGTAATTGCATTCGTTGATACAAATTGTATTCGTTAATATATTTGATATCCGTCTGAGAGCTTTAGAAGACTCGTCGGGTTTTGAACTTCACATCAACGATTATTCTGCAACAATGGCGGGAGGTAGGTCGATTCACTATTTCCGCTGCAATTTCGATCTAAAGATGAGTTTTACATGCTTCGAATCATGTAAATAATTTACATTTGATATCATAGCGATTAGAAATTAGCTCTGCCATGTTAATTTCCGAAGCTTAAAATGACATTCTGATTTTCGGATCTATAATTTTTGAACTTTAGATGCAAATTAGTGTTAGAAATCATAAGGATACAGATTTTCTAACATTTTTCTGACTTTTTATCGAATTTTCAGGTTCTCATATGGTGAAAATGAACGGGTCTGTAAACGGGTCAAAAGGACCCGCTAGAGGTAGAAGACGATCTTCTGGCGTTTTTTTTTTCTTCCAAAAACAACCTCATAGTGAGTTCAACTTTTGAAATTCTTATTTCTTATGTGCTACCCCACCATAAACCTATATTTGTGATCTCTTATTTTTATTATTACTCTGTTCCAATTTTTGTGTTTTTTTTTATTAATCCAAAGTCAAATAATCTAATTTTGATCTAAATTTGGGTGTGGAATGTTTAATTTTTCGACGATCGAGAGTCAACTATTCAATTAAAATTTTAGTCTACATATATTTATGTAAGTAGATTCAATTTTAAATAGTATATCAATATCAGGGAATTACTAAGGGTTATTGATAAACAATTTGGAACTTTCATGTATAAAGCACTCACAACACCTTAATTTCGAGATTCTTATCAATGAGCTCACATGGTGTTGAGAGGCTAAGTTTCTCGGACTCTTCGCTTTTGGTGTCGCATCTGTGTTGACATGATATGTGTGATACCAATATGAGCTGAGTAATATCCACATAAATATCTAAGTCATCTTATTCACATGCTAGGAGGCCGCGTCAGTGCTGAGTAGGTTTGATCACATCATTTGCATTTTTTATTTTTGCGGAAAAGTTAGTTAGAATTACTTACTTCTATTTGCTGCTATTTTCATTGTAATTGCTTTCAGTTTCCTGATTGTAGTATAAGTAGAATATGTAATGCTCTTGTAAGGCATGATTTGAATGTGATAGCTCAATACAATTTCCATTTTCTCTCTCAATTTCTCCTTTGTTCTTCCTCTTTCTCTTAATTCTCCTTCTTTCTTCTTCTTATCTGCATTTTGTTCCCTTGATACCTCCATTTTTTGTATTAATGTGTGTGGGTGTGTGATATGTGTTCGATTTGGTCAACGGATTTTGGGTACTTTGACCAAAATTGATGGGGAAAGTTTGAACAATTTTAATGATTCCAATAATCAATACAAAAGCTAAGATGAAATTGAAGAAAACAGAATACCTTTTATATAAAATTTCTATGTGACTCCTTTTTCTTTAATCTCCTTCTAGGATTCTCCTCAAATTCTCCACATAATATCTCATAGGGGTGTACAAAATCGAACCGAAAACCGAGTCAAACCGAGAAAACAAACCCGACTAGTGGTTGGTTTGGTATTGGAAAAAAAAAACCCGACTATATTTGGGTTGGTTTGGTTTTAACTAAAAAAAACCAACTCGAGACCAAACCAACCCGACATTATATATATAATTTTAAAATTTTATTTTATACATAAAAATAATTTACTTTGATATAATTTTTAAATATTTCTTATACTTTTTCATAGTTTTTATCTGTTAATTTATTATTATTTCAAGTTTGAAACTTAGAATTCTAAATGGTTCAATAAAGATTATAGTCCACAGATATTGATAATTATAATAAAGCTTAAATCAAAATTAAATTAAATACTAAAGCAAAAAAAAAAAATACAAATTCAACACTAAGAATGACAATAAATATTGAATATTTGTTCTATGATTTTACATCAGTTTATTCAAATACATAATCTAATTTTAATTTCCTTTAATATTTAGTCACGTAACTAATACTTATTAAACTTATTTTAGCATGATTTAGTACTTTTAAATTATGATCATTTTCATTATGACTTGTGAATTTTGCAATATTTGTTTTACACGATTTCATTATTATTATTTTTTGTTGGATATTTTAGTATCATTACTCATATAATATTTTGTGTTATTTTCTTAAGAAACACCTTAGATAGTTGTATTTTGGTAGGACTAAAGAAATATTTGAAGTATAAGTAAATTATATGTTTGTATGAATACTTTTCCGGAAAAAACCCGAAAAGCCGAAAAACCCAAAGTTGAAAAACCCGAGTTTTATTGGTTTGGTTTATAGATTTAAAAATCCGACACAAATGGTTTGGTTTGATATTTGAAAAACCCGAACCAACCCGGTCATGTACACCCCTAATATCTCATAATGTAGATTCTATAACTCTATTTTTATATATTTTAATTATTTTTAGGCGAATCCCCGCACCTGTATCCATACATGAATCCATATCCCCAAATCTTAAAAATTAGATCATGAACTCTAGATCCGCACCCGTATCGGACACCTGCACCCGAGTCCGAGTAACGTAACTTAGTTGAGAGGTGTGTGTGAGCACACTCGCTTAGCGGCTCCACTAATTACTCTTGAGGTTGAAATGCCTCCAATTTTTCTCGTACACTATATTTTGTACTCTTTTTCTCCACAGTAAAATTCCTTTAAGATCTCCAATAACACACATAAGAATAAATACTCTATTAATGAACTTATGACCATGTGTGTTCAAGAGAAGGGTCGATTAGTAATGGAAAAAAGAGAGTGTGTTCATAACTTCAATCTCTCTTGTATGTAATGAAGCTAATATGAATGACGTTAATCATAACATGTAATGAATTGAATAACAACAACATATCCAATGAAATATCACAAATGTGATCTGGGGAGGGTAGAGCATATACAATCCTTACCATATTGTATAGTTTGAGATTAAGCATTATTATATATTATTAAAAGTGGGAAGCTCCAATCTTCAAAGTTGGATTACCATTTTTCCCCTCCATTAAATCAAAATGTTATTAATTAATTAAATAGTAAATAATAAAATTACAATTCACTCAAGGCTTAATTACATGTTTCTGGTTATAAAACAAAATTCTACATGTTTAGATAAACAAAACGTCAAAACATTTCAAATTCTTGGCTACATTAATTTATTAAAACAAAATGTTCTAAAATATAATTAAATACTAAATAGTAAAATAATGCTCCTACAATGTAATAAATATTGAATTACATATCCTTCAAAAAATAGTCTTCTTTATTATATATATATATAAAAATAATTTAAAAATGTGGGACTCAAATAGTAACTAGTAATTACTATCATGAAAAGCCATTTCCCGTCTTAATCCTTTTTAAATGTTGTCATATTAAATGCTAATAATAGCTAAAATAATGATAAAAAATAATAATTTCTTTCGTTTTACAAGATTTACAAAATTAGTTTATACATTTCCGGAATGATTATAAATAATTAAAAATAAATAATAGGTATATAATTTAATAAAATAATTACTAAAAAACTTATAGTAGTTTGTGGATTTATATGATTTTTCTATAGCACTAATATTATAAATTTAAAATTACTTTGAAGAAATAAAAATAATTCCAGGAAGAGTCTTTTTCACTACCCCATTAACTACACATATGTACAATGTATGTTATTTATTTATTTATGTCATTTATTAAATTAATAAATTTATATTATCTTCAGCTCATAGTTATAAATTTTTTGGAGCAGTTAAGAAATTGAAGAGTTTTCTTTTCATTATTCAATACAGATAGTTATATTTGTCAATTTCCTCCATCTATCAGCTCACACTTTTACTTTACCCTTCTTTTACTCAACACGTTTCTGAAGTTATACAAAATAGAAGGCAAACTGATTGAAGAAGATGAAGATCTTGATTAATATTGAATGAATTTTACAATGTCTAAATGACCTGTATTTATACAACTTGTTTTTGACTAACTTACTTACTTAACCTTTTGTAACGAACTTCTTGAAAGTCCTTCTAACTAACTTCTTGAAAGTACTTCTAACTAACTTTCAATACTCTCTTTCTTTTTTCTAAATCTCTCAATACTCTCCCTCAAGCTAGATGGTACAAATATGTCTAAGACCCCTAGCTTGGATAGTAGATAGTCATGTTGAGACCTTTGGTTGCATATCAGCTGGCTGATTTTGTGTTGACACATAAGTAATCTTGATCAGTCCTTGTTGAAGTTTTTCCCTAATGAAATGACAATCAATCTCAATGTGTTTAGTACGTTCATGATAGACTGGGTTAGAAGCCAATTGAATAGCAGACTTGCTGTCACTATATACTTGAACTGGTAACTAAACTTCAGTCTTTAATTCTTTCAACATTCCAACCAACCAAACTAACTTTGCTACAGTAGAAGCTAAGCTCCTGTACTCAGCTTCTGCTGAGCTTCTTGACACAATGGTC